AACACTTTTTTTATTTCCACTCTTCTTTCTCTATTAAGTGATTCTTATCAAGTTTGCAATATATGTAATTTAAATCCTAAAAAAATGAATGACTTTGTAATTGCTTACAAAAGACAACCTAATCAAATGTCTTTGGACCTTAAAATTCACACTTTCCATCTCTGGATTTATTGTTTTGAATGTCTGTTACATATTGGACAGAGAAGAAGACCGGGATACAATGATTAGGGATTTTTTCTTGCAAACTCTCCTGAAAAGAAAAATATAGTTGTAAGTAGAAAAAAAGAAATTCAGGAAAAATTATAAATACACTTGGAATTGTTGTTGATGTACCAATGAGCAGTGGCTCTGGTTCATTCAATAATGGAAACACAGTAGGCTTCTGCGTTTCTTACGCATGACTCCGAGCAATCCCACGCACGGAAGTCATACAATCTGCAGTAACTGCAGATTGTATGACTTCCTAATTAGTTTGCTGACAGTTTAAATGGTTAAATTTCAAACATATCTAAGAAACGTTTTCAAGAAAGCAGAATTTTTTTCCCAAATTTTGAAAATAAAAAAATGTTTTAGGCTGTTTTCTGTTGCTGGTAATGTCGTTACTGACCTACGGACAAGACTTGACCCAGAAAATGTGCAAATGCTTGTTTATCTTTAAGCCTGACCAAACGTGATGAGACGTCCGTGAAAAGAGTGGCCAAACTGCTGGAAACGTCTGACGAACGTTAAACCCGCCTCGAGTTGGTATTAGAAGTCAATCCATTAAAAAATGAAGCAAGATTTTCGACGAAATTTTCTATTTTAAATTTTTCATGAGGCAGTGTCATTGCGTTGAACTTTTTAAAGTTAAAAATGGAAAAACAAATTTTCTCTACGTAGGCCACTAGTTTATAAAAATGAAAAATATAGGTATTAGTAACTTTTATGCTAAAAACTATCAAGCTGCAAATAAATGTGCTTAAATTTTTGTCCATTTCTCTTTTTTTTCTGCAGGAAAAACTTGTACATTCATAACATTCATAATAGATATGCTTATGTATCTTGTATGTTTTACAAAATGTAATGAAACCGTTTAAAACCGACTAAACTCGACCTAAGCCGCGATTAACCGCAGTGGTCGTAAAATTAAAAGAAAAATTTGCAGAAAACCGCAAGAGGTCGTAAATATTTTGCGAGAATATGCGGTAACACGGTTGTCGGAATTTTTCCTCCTTACGCAGATGCCTAAAACACAGTGAAAGGACATTTAGAAGTCATGAAACTTTTGCTTAAATACTTGAAATAGATAAGGGTATCGTAAAAACATTTTTCATTATCCTTTGTGTGTTGTTCTTTAAGCACCCAATTGATCTAGATAAACTAAAAATGTATTGCAAAGATACATTTGCAAAGATGTAATGCGAGATAAGATTGCTTTGCTCATCAGACCCCTTTATTACTTTTATGAGGCAAAGTTTAGAACCAAAAAAAGAACTTGCTCTTCCAGTAGAATTTTTAGACCTTTTATTTATATTCTTCATATCAAACTAATCAAAAAATTCATATGAGTGGGTCAGAAGCCAAGGGGTACAAGTGACAATTTTACCAAAATTAAGTTAAGTATAGAATTTGATAGAAGAAGCAAACAAAATTGTTGGTGGCCAAGGGATACAAGTGAATCTCTGCCCTGTGCTGCTTTCTACTGGAAAAACATAACAACAGCTGAGTATATTTAACAAAAATACTTTAACTTTAAACAGCTGTATCACAAAACTATGAAAATGTCACTTGTACCCCTTGGCTTCTGACCCACTCATATCAAAGTATTGATAATATGAGTCTTAATCAGATTTACTTTATTTAAAGAAATCTGTAAAAAGCTTACAATAGCAACTTTTTTTTTTTTTTGAATAGGGATATGTAACACCTGTTTCATTAATGTTTATTAAAAACTTAAACCTTTTATAATTATCCATTTTTAAATAGCTCAGTTTAGTAAAAAAAATTATAAATATAGAAATATCAAAGATAATTTATTTTTATTTATAATTTCTGTGTAAAACCAATTTTACCAGTTTTTTTCAAGTTGTCTTTTGTTCTTGCTGTGCTCCCATATGCACAGAATATTCATGTCTAGGTAATTAAAAAATATGGGTCCTTGATAATTTTGTTTATTAATTGACTAGGAAGTCAAACTATTGAAATCAGTATTATGAAAATAAATTTTAACATATAGATCTAGATATAAATATATATTCAAAAAGCATGTCACATGTTATGTCATGTGTCCTGGATCTGTTATTTTAGAGTTTGTTTATTCTATACATATTTGCAGTAGTTGTAAGTGTACCATAAATCATGAAAACTATTAAATCACTTTAGATCTTGTCATGAAATATGTGTCATATAATGTGCCTGCTTTTTTCCTCTTGTTGTGCTACTCTACATGTTTATGCAATGTACCAAGATATCATGAATGTTAAATTTTTCCTTCAGAGAATATTAAGTTAAAAAATATATCAAAAATAATTCCGTTAATAAATGCGTTAAATGTAAGTTATTACGTTATGTATTCATGTTCTCAAGGGGGGAGGGGGGAGGAGGGCTATTACCCTCTCCCTTAGATATTTTGAAAATAATTTTTTTTATAAATTTATTTATTTTAACCGAACAATTGTTTAAAAACGGGAGTAGTTTAGGGTGTCTGTTTAAAAGTGATAAAATTTTTTAATGAGTTTGTGTTGTGCAAAAAAGAAATAAAATCGGACTAATGAGAGATTGATTTAATTTCATAGATTTATAAGTTAACTAAAAAATCTGAAAACCGCCCTCTCCTTCTTTATTAGATATTTGGATCAACCAAATCAACTCCCCCCCCCCTCTTTTCTCATTCTTTCCTTAATGGTCTGGATGCACCGAATCAAAAAAAAGTTATAAATCACCTCTTTCCTTACTAGGTGGTCTGGATCCCCCCTGGGTGTACTGTACATGTATGATATATATTCAATCAAATATTTCAACAAACATTTCATCTTCATTTATAATTTTTCTAGAAAACTTTTTTGTATAATGTTCTCGAAAATGTTTAACATCTTTGTTTCTATTTTCGTGGGCTTCTTCAGATGATGGACAATCACCTTGTGCACTCCAGCAAGCATAGGGTACCGTTTAAAATGTGCTATATATATATATATATATATATATATATATATATATATATATATATATATATATATATATATATATATATATATATATATCTTAAGTATAAAAAATCCTTAATCATTGTATGCTGGTCTTCTCTGTCCAATATAACTATTTATAGTTAATAGATTGTTGAAAATATGAAATACATATCACAAGTTTATTATTTGTTATTTAATTTGTCCGTGGTTTTGTGTTATTGGTATGTTGTTCAGACGTATGACAACTAGCATTACAACAATAGTTATTGTTGGTTTGGGTATATAATAAACATTCAACAAAAATTTAGCTTCAAAATAGGCGAAAATATGATTTTTGCCTCAAAAGTGACATTTCTGGACTACTGTACGGAGGTAATTATATTAAAATATTAGGCAAAATCCAAAATAAGTTTTTAATTCCAAAAAACATTTTTTTATTCGTCTAGCCACGCGTGACCAACTCCCATGAATATTTTGGGACTATCTTTTTATGAAACCTAAAACACATACATGTTCACTTTAGTTTCTCGTGTTAATGTATAAATGCACGACCATTTATCTAACAGGCGATGTTATCAAAACAGCGATAAGTCAATTATGTTTTCTTATTCCGAGGCCATTTGTATATTTTACAAATATAAAAACTGTGCATATTTTATAATGGCAAACTAACTGAGCTAACGACGATAAACGCCGTAAGTTAATGGTAAATAACCCCCTCTTTTAGGTAATGATAAAACTATGCATCGCGTGATTGCAGATCAGCTTCCAATTATGTTTTGTACTTAATTATTTTTAGTACAAAACATAAACTTCAAGTCAATTTTAAATATAGGGTAGAGCGGGGCATACAGGGGCACTTAAGAAACAAATGCTCGTTGCGGATTAACTAATCATATTTAACTCTGTTTTTTATAAAGTTCATTGGTATAAGAAAAAAAAAATAATAATAAAATCTAAAAATAAGTTATGACAACCAATGTAACGAAACTCTAGACTAACATTTTGCAAGTGGGTGGAGCTAATCGAGACAGTTAAAAAGTAGCAGTTATTATTCAATTGTAAAGCTTTATAAATGATAAAAAATGAAGGCTATCTATTGCCTAAATAATTTCTTACCTTCTTTGTTTACATTAAACACTAATAATAACCAAAGTTAAGTTATAAAGTTAAGAACTTTTTTGAATTTATTTCTAAAATTGATTTTTTAAATAAAAAAACAATATTTTAGATAAAATCATAAAGCTGCATTAAAAAAATAATATTTTAGATAAACTGCAAACAGCATTGCGAAATGGTAGTAATATACTCAATTAAATGGTAGTAATATACTCAATTAAATGGTAGTAATATACTCAATTAAATAAATACTTTTGTTATTCCGATATGCCCCACTAAAGTCATTTTACTGAAATTAATACTACTCAAAAAGTTCAATTATAAAATTTTTTTTAAAACCAAATTCTAAAAGAGAATAAAAAAATACTGTCTGAAAAATATAAACTTTTTATAGGTAAAGCTAATTCGCAAGAGTTCAAGATAAATCCTTTGGCCCTGTATCGCTAAAAAAAAAATACGCAAATTTTGTTTTTGCAAACTTACTGATACATTTTGAAACTTTTAATGCATTATGGTATTTCTAAAATTAATTTTTTTATTTCAATAATGAAGCACAATAATTTAAAATGTTTTATCAAAACAAGTATTTTTAGCTGAGATATAAGGCTTCAGGCATAATTGTCCCGTTATGCCCCGCTCTACCCTACACGACATAGAAAAAAGTTCGAGACAAAGAAAACAAAATATAAAAAAGATCGAGACAAAGTAGACAAAATATAAACAACAAATTTGTATTTATACTTCATATTTACAATGGTAACAAACATGACGTCATATAATTTTTTAACCGCATCGGTCTTATTTCGTTGATTCGAAACAAAAGGATATTTTCTTAGTAGAATAAAGGGGTATCATAAGAAATAACCTAGGTAAACACCAAGGATGGCCATAAACAATTTGTTATTGAGAAAAACAATCTATCCAAAAAATTCATCTCCCAAAAATAATTCTTATTTACCAAACCCCTAAGACGGTAAAAAATATAAAATCAACGTTCTATTTTCAAGGCGGAATTCTGTTTCCTGTTATCAAAACCGACTTGATCAAAAAAACTCGTCGATCTAAAACCGAATTCTTAATTAAGGCTTTGTCGGTCCGAAACCTTCTTGCAAATTAAATGTTTTAACATTAAGGAAGGTCTTTATCTTCTAGATATCGATATTCAAATGTAAATCCATCTCTTTTGCGCTGACTCCATTTTTCATAATCAAAGAATATATAAGTTCCCTATTTAGGAAATCAATTTGTCTTTAGTACTTATAATAATAAAAAAAAAAAAAAAAAAAAAAAAAGAAAAAAAAAAAGAAGAAGGAATTGAGAAAAAATAGAAACCTCTTCAAACTCATCCGTAATTCTCTTTGGTTCCTCGTGTCGCTGGAACCACATCATATATTTAGTATGAAAACGCCACGATTGCTTTTTCAAAGCTTTTGCAGCCAAATACTGAGCTCGAGTACCCTAATAGCGAATTAAAAATAGGCTAAAAATAGATAATAAAAAATGCTAACATGAAAAAACGAAAGCTTACTTCTTGATAATAAAATATAAAAAACAATGTCTCTGTTGATAATCTCTGAAAAAATTCAATAGAGTCGATATTTGGAGGAGCTTGATGAAGATGATAGTTTGCTATTGGCACTGCACTTCTTGAGATGTAAGGTCTAAAAATAACTTTAAAGAATTAAAAAACTCTTTTTAAACTAAATTTTAATGAAGATTTAAATTTATAGAAAATTATTGCATATATTGTAAAGTAGTAGCAACTCTTACCCCAACGCTTTGAATTCCAGAATTTTAATTTTGTGAAACGTTAAAAGCTGAACTATATATTTAAAGCATTAGTGTTTATGCGTCCAATTATATTTGTAATAAATATAATTAATAAATATATGGACAGTAAATACTGTGAGGAATTGCATAGGAAACTAATGTTAGAGGAAAAAAACATTTTATCTTTCTTAAACACAAGAAAAAAAGTAACAACCCATCAGAGATATCCAATTCTATGTAATTTTATGATCTTAAAGCAAACATAGATAACTTTAATGTAGTTGATAGATTATTTACAGAGAACCAAGTTTCAATTATACAAGTTCTTCCATAAAAGGTGTACTATTATTTCTTTTAAAAGGTGTACCATTGTTTCTTTTAAAAGGTGTACAATTGTTTCTTTTAAGAAAAAATAATTATAGTTTTTACTTGAATTAGTTCACTGTGGAGTGAAACATATAAAGACTCTTCCGTATAGTAAAGCATTTTGTTGTGGAGTCAAATGCATAAAAGCACTTTCACAAAACAGAGCAATTTGTTGTCAAGTCAAATGAATTTAAAGACTCTTTCTCAAGCAGAACATTTGAACGAATTTGTAGAATTTTTAAATATTTATTAAATAATTAAATTTCACGAAGTGATAAATTTATCAATAAAAATTCTGTTGAAAATCTAATATGCTACTCAATCTCAATCTCATATGCTAATCGACCTCAATCTCATATGCTACTTATAAATAATATAAAACTTTTGACATATTAGCTTAACAACATTAACAAGCCGAAATCAGAATGTTATTATTATCATAACAACATTAACAAGCCGACATCAGAATGTTATTAATAAGCAAAACAACATTAACAAGCCGACATCAGAATGTTATTAGTAATTATAATTACATAGTAAACCAGGCAATTTTATGTCAATATGTTGTCTCAAAAATTTTTGCGACAGTTGTCATACCTTAGTAAACAAAAGAAATCTTTTAAATGATTTTGTGCACCTTTTAAAAAATATTACAATACATGAATAACTGAAAAGACTCTTGAAAAAGGAACATTTTATAGCACATATCACAAGTTAGAATCAAACCAAATGATTAAAATGTTTACCTTATTAACACTGCTCTAAGTCCCTAACCAAATGATGAGCAAAAAGTTGTCTGAAAGTATTTTGTACAGAAATATTAAGTGAATTAAAATATATTAGTTATATATAAAATATATTGGTTTGCTTTCATTAATAATCAAATTTTTGAGAATTGTTTGTAGCCCACAGATATATGTGAGATCCAAATCAAGCTGTTATTTTAAAGAACTTTTAATGTTTGTAGCCTTCATACAAATGTTTGATCTAATTCAAGCTGCCATTTTCCTTTAAAAAGTTTTTAATTTTCAAGCTGTATGAATTCAAAAACATGGCTAAACCAATGTGCTCTTGAAAAATGTTTAGGACACTTCTTTGTAACTTTAAAAACATAATGAAAACTTCATAAGACTATTGAAAATATGAAAACCTGTATCATGGTTAAATGGTCTTGTAAAGTTGCTAAATTTTGTCTTGTCTACAAATATGTTTGGCAACCTTAACTTCTAATCCTTCAGAAAAGTAGTATGGAAAGACTGAGATATATTTTGCAATAAGTGAACGTGTCAGATTTGATTTTACTACAACAGGGCATTGTTGTGAAATAAAAAGATTTTACTAAAAAGAAAAAAAATTGATATTAAATAACTTATCAGAACACATTATATTTATAGATGTCAAAACAACTCTGATTTACATAGATGGCTGATAAAGGTTTGGATGGCTGTAACATTTATTGTGAGAAGTTGGATGATTTTATTATATACTAACTGATAAAGGTTTGGATGGCTGATAAAGGTTTGGATGGCTGATAAAGGTTTGGATGGCTGATAAAGGTTTGGATGGCTGATAAAGGTTTGGATGGCTGATAAAGGTTTGGATGGCTGATAAAGGTTTGGATGGCTGATAAAGGTTTGGATGGCTGATAAAGGTTTGGATGGCTGATAAAGGTTTGGATGGCTGATAAAGGTTTGGATGGCTGATAAAGGTTTGGATGGCTGATAAAGGTTTTGGATGGCTGATAAAGGTTTGGATGGCTGATAAAGGTTTGGATGGCTGATAAAGGTTTGGATGGCTGATAAAGGTTTGGATGGCTGATAAAGGTTTTGGATGGCTGATAAAGGTTTGGATGGCTGATAAAGGTTTGGATGGCTGATAAAGGTTTTGGATGGCTGATAAAGGTTTGGATGGCTGATAAAGGTTTTGGATGGCTGATAAAGGTTTGGATGGCTGTAACATTTATTGTGAGAAGTTGGATGATTTTATTGATGATAAAATTTAAAAAATTCATAAGTTTAATGCAAGCTATTTCTTTAAGTTATTTGCAAGTTTTATAAACTTAAGTTTTCGGTTTCAAAAACTAAAGTTTATCCCTAGGTTAATAGACCTGTTATTATATGCACAACCACTTAATTTTTTTTTAATACTTGTTGAACTAGTGCTATCACCATATTTGTTTTTACTGCGTACACTCCTTTTAAGATATGCCCTAATTTTATTTTCGCCATATTGAATACAAAAATGTCATTTGTATCCTGTTGGTTTTAAGCATAGTTAACTGCATACCTTTTTAAGTATGCATAATAGTTTAAAAAAAATTTAAAAAATAATGATTATACCCTGCGTGATTACTTTCACTAAGTAAATCTACAAAACAATTAATAAAAGTATTAAACTAAATGAATACTACTATACTGGTATGTAACATTTTAGAAGTTTCTAAAAATTTTAGATATTACTAATTGTCATGATTGTTACAAATGAGAAGTTTCAATGAAATCTGTTAACGCCACCAAAAAAAAGCAGTACAAATAATAAAACTTTGAATTTTAATGACGCATAAGATTACTGGTTCTAAGTAGACAAAAATTGTTTCACAGTTTTTGTCTACTTAAGAATATTATTATCATGTGGACATTATGATAACTAAATTTTAACTAACAAAATTCTGTTAGTAGAATATTATTTATCATAATGACCACAATTCTGTTAGTATAATATTATTTATCATAATGACCACAATTCTGTTAGTAGAATATAATCATAATAACCACAATTTATTTTGGCTTGATGTTGCTTCATTGCATTATGCCAAACAGTAACATCATTCTTTGAAAGAACTCCAAAAAATATATGGCTAAAGTGAATAACCTGAAACAACTCAAAATATTGTCCGAATGAGGATTTTTGGAATAGATGAAATAAAAAAAAAGGTCTATTCAAGAACTGGAAAAGTAAAAATGCAAAACAACTTTATGTTACAATAAATTTCTATTTATTGTAATAATCACCAAGGAAACCTGTAAAAACCTCACCTAAGAAAATTGTAACAGCAATTTAAAATTCTCACGAATTTTTATTGAAGATTTGCTTATTCTGTTTAACTTTCAGTGCTTTATATTTTCCCCTCATTCATAATTTATGTTTTCAGTTTACTTCATTATTAATTTATTATTTTATAAAATTAACTTCATTATTAATTCAAACTTCTAAGCAATTTAGATAAAGTTTCAAAAACTACATATCACAGACTTCACCATTGCTACAAAAAAAAGCAAAGCTTTTATAGCACTGTCTATTTTCAACGAAACCATTCAATGAAATTGCTAACTTTAAAAATTGTTTTTTAGATTAAGTTTTTCCTTTTCTCTCTCTCTTCTTCTTCTTTTTTATTTTAAAATACATATTTTCAATAATAATTGCTTCAAATTTAAAATGTTTATCTAAATAAACTTGGCAACTTCTTGTGATGATTGAATTTTAGCAGAAATCTTTTATCAAAATAACACCATCTGTTCTCCTCAAAACTCTTTCTTAAGCAATACTTATAGATGAGTTGAATGAAGAAAGATATTTGTGAACCTTTGAGATATAGATTTTCTTTATTTTTACAGATAAGGAAAAGAGATTAATCAGCAATTATAACACAATAAATTGTGAGTTAATGACAACATTAGGTTTAAAATCAAATTAGATACCTGAATTAACAGTCTCAGCTGAAATATAAGAGGTTGCAACAACAGTAGCAAAAAAACTTATGAAAATGCTTGTTGCAGATATAACCAATACAATTATTTGTCCAAATATTCAAATACTTTCAAGTGGTGGTCTTAAAGTACCTTCACACTTTCACTTAAGGATTTAACAAGTGAATGGTTTTTCAGTCCTAGATAACCTAAATTAAAACGGAACACAATTTCGAAGACGTATTAAGCAACATTTGCGATTCTGCTCTATTTGTATGGGTGCATTAAATCACATGGCATTAAAGCACATGATAAAGATAAACTAGTTCAAGGAATTATCCTTAGTAGATTTATAAACTAACTGATCTATGTGTTAGTAAATGTTATTTTTTATGAGAAGACAAAATATATACTAAAAAAATTCTGGTTTAACAGATTTGTCTTAAATTATTGTATTGCCAAAGACATATTTACAGCATATCATATCTAATGCAATTCAACAGGCTTTAAATATCAATATTGTGTCCAAATCCTATAAGTATTATGCTGATAATAACCATGCTTGATATACTAGTTTTGTCTTATAATAACATTATAACATTTTATTTTTGACACTTATTGTTAAGATTATATGCTTACATGGGTAATAGATGGTTTAGGTAATTTTTTAAATGTTAATTTACTTCCACAAGGCTAAGAAGGCCACTACAGGTAAGGAGACTACTTTAATTGTAGTTACATCTCTCTCTCAACTATGTAACTCTAAAACATCAACCTTGACAAATATAGTGCTGCGCAGAAAAAACAAGTTAAGCGCAATATAACCAGAGACATGGCAGGGATTGAACTCGGATCATCTTGCACATGAAGCAAGCGCTCTACCACCACACCACTACTGCACTTGCTCTTTTATCAGCTGATATATTGGGTAGTTCATAACACTGATATGAATCTTAAATATGAATAATCAAAAAACAATTATAAGCATCAAAAAAAACTCCATTTTATTAAAAATTTTACCTCATTTTTTCACTATCTTGTTTTTGCGGAAGATGATGGTAGGAAGCATCTAGAGATTTTAATTGGTAAATACGCTCCTGAGTTAATAAAACTGGACCAAGAGGAGCAACACCATGCACTGGCTGAAGACATACTTCCTGCATCTCAGCAGGAATAGCTTTTTGAGAAAGAACAGGATTCTGATTCAATAAAGTTCCAAATAAACTACTAGCTTTCATATTAAAGTCTAAAGTTGGTTGTACTTGTTGCTCCTCCATTTTATGATGGGAATGAAAAATATCATTTGGTTGTTGTGAAAGACTTGATGATAGCGATGTACTTGAATTTTGACGAGAAGAAAATGAGAGACTAGCATTTGCTACACTGCTCATCAACTGTTCAATAGCATTAGTTGATAAAGAATTATGCAAAGAATTTGTTGAAACAACTGTTTCAGAAAAGTTCTCAACATCATTTAAGCTATTATTTTTTCTCCAATGTGGATTACTTGTGTTTATGCCTTTAAAAAAAAGAAAAAAAGAAAAAGGGAATGAACAATAAAATTTAAAAAATAAAATAACTATGCACATAGTCCTTGCAAAAAACTAACCTCTATCTGGGTATTTCAAACTTTCTGTTTGGTATCGAGCAGGCCTCACAAAACTTTGATCTGTACTTGATATACTCTTGTTACCTGGACTTGAAGGTCGAATATCTGAGACTGTAGACTGTGTTAAAACAGCAGCCACGGTATTTATAGAAGAAAGAGGTGTTGTAAGCGATGCAGTGGTAAAAGAATCATTTTTGCTATATGAGTTGTATTCATCCATATGATCGAGACCATTAACATGAGGTTGTGAACTAAAACAAAAATTTTAGAAAAATATTAATAGAAACCATGTAGAAAAGATTTGATTTAGAAAAAAATTGATGTAGCAAACATTATTCATCACTGTTGCATATGTTATTAACATAAAACTAGAGGAATAAGAATATTTGAAGCACTTAGGAACAGTCACAGTAAAAAGAGAAGATTTAATTGAGCGACAAGTAACACAAGAAGGAATTTTAGTAGATGGCACAAGAGAAACTAGATCTTTAGAGCAGCGCCATTATAGTATTTATAAAAAAGAGAAAGAAAAGCAACATTAGGATGATGTGATAATGGTTGGAGGTTAGAGCAGCTCTAGCAATGCCACAGGCTATTCTAGGAAAATAACCCCTCGTGCCTGCTACTCCCATAAGGAAATTTGGTGGAAACATTGCTGTATGTAGGCATTATTTTCATGAAAAAAACAGTATTTGTCATACATATAAAAAATAGATCCTAAATTTCTGAATTTGGACAGCGTCTAAATGTTACCCTAATATGTTCAACGCTGTTGAAAAGGGTCTAGAATAGTCCCTGTCCTTAAAATAGTCCTTTACAATGTGTCCCTGTATGTTTACAATGTGTTTTAGTGTCTAAAAGAGTAAGAGCATTGTTGATATGGCAACAGTATTCAAAAGGAGGCAACAGTATTCAAAAGGAGGGATTTGAGTTTTATTGAGATAAAAAATTAAATCCAGAGTAAGAAAATTACAAGCACGATAAAAGAGATGCAACTATAGCAGATGCTAATTTTGCAATGGATTAGATATATAGATTCTAAGAAAAATTGGAAATAAGAGTTAATCCTAGTAAAAGATGACTCATCGAGTACATTACCATGGTGACTCATCAAGTACATTACCATTCATAAATATATAAAGATCTAGGTTATTGCAATAATGATTAACTGAAAAAATTTTTAAAAAAAAAGAGTTTTATCTGAGTTAAAACTCACCAGCCACTGAGAAACAAATGTTGTAGCAGAAGTGAGATCCAAGCAGTCAGAGAGTGTTGACTACTTATCAAGACAAGAATAAATGGTAGTATCATCAGTGAAAAATGCCACCTTAAATGTGATATTAGATATTAATTTATATTAATGATCTGGGAGATCATTAATATATACTAATAAAGTATAGCGTTCTTCTTCATAACCTGTAACTTCAGAGCCTCTGAAGTTACAGGTTATGAAGAAGAGTGCTGTCCGTTGAGGACATTGGTAAGAAAGGATTCAATAATTTTAAAGATGGTACATTGTAAGAAGAGAGCTTATGGAGAAAACCACATGTCAAACTTTATGAAAGGCTTTAGAAATGTCGAGAGAGATAGCAATAATCTCTACGCATCTATCTAATGCATGATAAAACCTATTGGTTATTACTATTAACAAATCAGAAGTAGAACAAAAAGATTGAAATCCATAAAGATGATCAAAAAGAAAGTTATTAGATTCAAAATGAAAGATTAAGTTTTTGGTTATTAAAGACTCAAAAACTTTGCTTACGATAGTAAGAAGATTAATGGGATGAGTTAGACGAATCAGAGATTATTGAAATTTTTTTAGCATTCACCTAAACTGACAAGACAGTAGCTAGATGTGTTTAACATTTGCCCAAAATGAATATTTATATTGAGACACTATCTCTAGCCTTTACTCAACCAAGAGTCCCAACCAAGAGCCTCACTTTTCCTTGCCTTTGCCGAAAAAAGTGTATTGTACAAGGCAGCAGGACATGAGGCAGGTTGTACTGTAACAGGATAACCTGACCTGACAAAAGCATGAAACGTCACAACACATATGTTGTATATAGTTATGTCACAACACATATGTCATATGTCAAGCTTTCCCAGGAAGCGCATGTGGTTGCATGCCTTGTTTATCAGTGTTTAAAGTAATTTTTTTAGAAACACTGACCAAGACAGTTCGCATCTTTTAACTTTCAAAGCATTTCAATAATTCACAGCAAATAGCTAAACCTATCTCCTTGGACAAAAAAATAAAATAAAAAAATACTAAAAAATTTTTTTAACGAAATATCAAATTTTAATAAAATAAACTTGAAGAATATACTAATTAAAAAAAAATATAGAAAAAATTTTGATATAAAATTTTTATACAACTTATGTATTCTTTTTTTAGGGTAGTTATTATTTTTAGCTACCAAATTTGATAAAATTTGAGAAAAAAAAAAATATTTTATTACAATTTAACAGCAATTGATAGTTTTGATATTCAATTTATACATAATTTTTAACAGTCCACCTGAAGACTCTAGACTACTGCTAGAAGTTATTGTAAAAAAGTTTTGTCTAACACCTAAGCCTGCTACTATCAGGTCATGAAATCTCAATTCATCTCAAAGATTCTCAAAGATTCTCATGACTTCTAAAGAACTTTTAAAAGTATTTATAACAAGGTCAAATCTGTTATTCCATGTATAGTTCAGATTTTGTCACCTCACCTAAAGACAAAGCTGAATATTTTGCTAAGAACTTCTCATTAATATCATCTACTGATTCCACTAGTTGCGTACTACTTAATATAGCTGACAAACCGTTAATCCATTGCCATTGTATCATTCCAGCTTCTGTAAAGTGTAAAATTCCAGCTTAGACTCTTCTACTTCTCTTTTAAACAAGTTGCAAAAAAAGTTGTAAACATAATTGGATCTGCTCTTACAGCCAACCTTCAAACATTATCACATCTTCGTAATGTTGCTTCTCTTTCTCTTTTCTATAAATACTATAATAGGCACTGCTCTAAAGAGCTAGCGTCTCTTGTGCCATCTACTAAAGACTCATCCTTTTACTGTGACTGTTCCTAAGTGTACCAAAAATTCTTATTCATCTAGTCATTTTCCTCAAACATCAGTTCTTTGGAATTCGCTTTTTCTTCTTGTTTTCCTGACTCATATAATTTGTAATCTTTTAAGTCGTCTGTTAATTGTTATCTTGGTTTATAAATCTTTTCTCTTTCAGGAACTTTCGACTCTAATAGTGGTTGCTTGCAGCCTTGTTGAAAGTGAAGATGTTAAAAAAAAAAATTTGTTATGCTAGAATTATGACAAATTTTGTTAATTTAATTTTTTATGTTTACTTGATTTTGCTTTTAAAAAATGTTTTTGCTATGTTTGATGTTTTCTCTCAATACTTATATAATAGGAAAACAAATATAATAAATTGCTATCTTTTTGTAAAATAATTTATTTGATTAATAAATTTTGTAATGATAGAAGAAATTTAATAAAAGAATAGAATGGTTTTTTTTATAAATATATTTACTACATTTGATGCCTGTCTAAAATTGTTGTTTTTGTATTGCTAAATTTCTAACAATACCAATTACTAGAGATAATGAATATAATGATTACTCTATTTGATAATATGTATTTAAAAATTAAAAAAACACATTTTAAATAGGATCCTAAAAGATTCGGTAAAAAAGTTCAGTAAATTAACAATACCCAAAAGCATTTTGAAGCATCATCAATAACAATAGTTCATCTGGAAATAAACTATTGGATTTAAACGTACAACTTTTTTGTCCAACAAAAGTGCAGACTTTTTTAATCAATGTAGAGGAAAACAACCAAATATTTTATATTTGAATATTAGTTTTAATGACTTTTTATTTTTTTTAAAGGAAAAATTTATTAAAAAATAAAACTTTATATACAAATAGCAATTAGTTTTCTTGTTTTCCTATGGTCAGGGTTAGGGTCAGGCTTTCCTATGCATTTATAAAAACAGTTAAGTTTAGCATAAACATTTGAAAAACAAATTTTAAAAATGTCTGTATTTCTAGTGCAAATAATAAAAGCCATTCCTTAATATACTGACTTAAAAAAGTTGCAAAGAAATTGTATATCAAAAAATGTTTTTATTTTCGTTATATTCTTATTTGTTTTTTTCCTTGACTTGTATCAATTTTGGTTATGGAAAATAACAAACACCCTTAAAAAAAACCAAAAAAAAAAAAAAAAACAGTAAAATATTTAGGTATATTATTTTTTTGACAAAATTTTTGTCATTTTAATTTTCAATTTTTTTTAGTTTATTTTATTTAGATTTTCGTATAGCATTCATTTTCTTTCTTAAAGTATTGCTGTTTTATTCTCTGCAGGTTCTTATAGCTTAATTTTGCTGCAAATTCTTAAAACGCTTTCTATATAAAAACACGGTCAAGTTTTCTAAAATAATTACTTTAAACATGGACAAACAAGGTTCCAGGGAAGACTTGTATGTAGTTATATAATCAAGAATGTTACAAATTCTTTATATTAATGACAAATTAAGTTCAATATTTATTGTTTTTTTTAATGAAAAAAATATTAATAAAAAATACTCTTGAGATGTTGGTACATCAGAATTACTACATGTATTAAAATAACCACTAAAAATGTTTCTTTTTGAAGGCGTAGAACATGGTCCACCATTTGAAAGATTAAGTGAAGAAGAAGATTTGGTATTTTTAGATGGAGATGTCTAAAAATAGAAATAAAAAAAAAAAAAAATTATTTAAAATATATCATTAAATGAACTACCTATAAATTATTTATTAACTTTTTATTAATTATTTATTAACTGCTTACCAACATTAATTTTGAAGGAGAACCAGTGACTCCTGAGAACCCAGAATTTATTGACGATGAAGGAGATGAATCTAAATCCTGATCATCATCTTTGTCATTATCAAATTTAAGACTTGATTCCACTAAAAATGTTACAAATAATGTTACTCTATTAAAAAAATATATATGGTGTGTGAAGAGTTATTAGGCATTGGTTTGATTTTGGCAATAATGAAAAATGTGCTAATTGTTTTTTATTACAATAGATTAGTTGATTACAGTTTCAATTTTTGAACTGAACATACTGAGGGTGTAAATATTGTGGGCAATTCTTTGGTAAATAATAAAATGCAGTTTTAAAAAATTTGATTTTGGCACATGACAAATCTTATACAAGTTGTAAAAAAAAAGTAAAGATATTCAGAATATAAAAATGTTCATAAAAATGTAAATTAATGCACACTACAAAAATAACTAATAATATAACATCAGGTTTAAAATTTATTTTAATTCCTTCATTAACCTCTATCCTAAAAATAATTTTATAATTATAGGAAATAGACGAGAAAATAGTTTAATGAATGGGTTTAAATTCTTAAAAAACTAAATTTCTTATTTTATCAAAACATTTTTGGCATCCAACCTTTCCTAGTAGACAAATTACCTTTTAAATAATGCCAAAAGCTTTCAATTGGCCTTACCTCAGAGGAGTTAGCAGGATTATCTTTTCTAAGAACACAATTAAATCTGCCATTATCCAGCAAACAAATGGCAGTTTTGCATAGTAAGTCAAAGCAAAGTAGATGTAATTGTCATCAAGATATTGTCAACAATCAAAAAATAACTTTGTATGTATTTTTGTTAAGTAAATAACTTTGTATGTACTTTGTTAAGTGAATAGACCTTAAAGATTAAAAGCTAAAACTTTAAATTCAAATTTTGCTTTCTTTTTGTATTAAAGATTTGGAGAAACATTTTTTGAATCACTTGAGTAATACCCATCATTCCTAACAATTATGGAACTGAGTAAAAAATATTATTCCATTTTGTCATCTAAAATAAAATTCTTGTTAAAAAACCTTTAAAAAAGCATCTACATTTAGGGCAAGTGACAATTCTTTGTTGTTGAGACTGTATCACTAGTCACCTCCAGTGACAACATTTGATATTTGTCTAATAACCAACATTTGATATTTGTCTAATAAAGTTTACTGAACAATTTCCAGTTGCACTTAAAAAAGATCATAAAGTTTACATCTTATGTAATGTCATTTTTGTAGAAATTATTAAACAAGTTTTATTCTACATTTATTATTTTTAAACTTTAAAAACTAAAAATCAATTATTTTTAAAAAGAAGTTCTTTTATATAATTATTTAATATGTAATTTTTAAAAACATAATTATTTAATATATAATTTTTTTTATATAGTTATTTAAAATATAATTTTTTTATATAACTATTTAATATATAATTTTTTATAAATATTATTGTATAGTTTACCTGAGACATTTATGTTTTCATGACTCATACAACTTTTAAAATCTTCATCTGTTTCATTTTCATCATTTCAAACAAATTTTCATCTGTTTCCATGCTTTTTAACTCTATTCTTTGTTTTCTTTACTTCCAACTTAATAGTAGGTTGCTTGAAAATTATTAGTGGTTGCTTGCAACCTTGTGAATTATAATAAATAAAAAATTTCAAAAAAATTTGCACATACGCCATTATACTTTGAGGAGCTCCATTTTGAGGAAACAATCTTACAAATATTTTTCCTCTAATTTATTACTTGAATTTAATGACCATATTATTTAATGACAACACTCCAGACAAACAGCTTTTCACTTGAATCTATAACCACACTTTTCTTGATTCTAGACAAACAGCTTATCACTTGAATCTATAACCACACTTTTTTTGACTCTAGACAAACAGACAAATCTAGATTATGCTAAGTGTCTCTTTGTTCTCCTCTGTGGTTTAAACCATGCTTTGAACTCACTGATACATCTTCCTTAGTATGATGATTCTTTAGCTTCAGCTTCTGTTAGAATGTTAGACATTCTAATCATTTCAGCTTCTGTTGCTAAAGTTAATTCTTACACTCATCTAGAAATTGTGGTCAAGAAACATTCTGATCAGCAGACAACATTCCTGTCATTGTCCTACAAAAAAGTTCTCCAGTGTTTGACTAAATCTAGCATGCTGGGAAATGGCATCTTTCATTCCAATTTTTGAAAAATATGGATTATAATAACAAGGTCTTTGAGTATTTAACAAACTTTAATATCTCATCTATCAACTCAATAACAGTAAACCTATCAACTATGAACATTAAGAATGTAAACACAGCAATCAATTTATGATGCCGGTGATTTGTTAACCATTTTTGATGAATAGATACATCAACAAAAACATAAATAACAAAGTAAGTTACTGAGTAAGTTATCCTGCACAAATATTTATTACTAGAATATTACTCATCATGTGCAATAACTTGAATTTTGACTTTTTAATGCATCAAAATAAAATTTAAAACTTTCATTGTTACCATTGTTACCATTATTTTCATTTTTAAACCAAGTTTTTAGTTTATTTACTACTTTATTAGAAATTTTAAAATGAAACAAATTAACTATAAAACTTTTTTGTGTATTAAATATTTATTAATTCATGTATTACATTTAATTGTTTTATATCTGGTTTCTCTTGTTTTGATTTTAAATTGTTAACTGAGTTTAAATCGTTGGTTTCTCAACAATTTTATACAAAGAATTTTGCATAGGAACATCATTGGCATTTCAACAATACTATGTGATTAAAGGCAATAATAAACCTATTCATTAATGATAGATCATTATTAATCAAATAAAACAAAACAAACTTATATTTTGAAAATAAAACAAAAAAACTCACAATCAATTTCAGTATCAAGATCCAAATCATCATAGATACCTTCATCATCAACAAAATCAGGCTCCTGAAGGAATTAAATTTTTTTTTATCATTTTATGCTTTTTGAAATAAATATGCATAAATATATATACAATATTATATACAATTTAAATTTAATTTATTGGTATTGTCTTAATACATTCTGAATGCTAAAAATTTTTAAACATCAACTCAATATTATTATATTAATAATATAACAATTTTTGAAAAGAAAAAGGAACTATAGATGCCATTTTCCGGCAGATGAGGAAAACAAGATACAGTTAAATACTTGTTAAACAGAGTTCTGGAGTACCCGTTTGTATATCTGCGACAGGAATAGTCAGGAAAACAAGCTATGCTCAGGTGAGAAATAACTTTAGACCAGAGTGATAAAGATGTTTAACAATGGATTAACCTCTCTCTCTCGAATATCAGGAAGAAAATCGTTTTGTTATCAAGAAAACTGTTTAAGTGGTACTAAAGCCAAGGCATTCACAGTTATAAGCATTAAAGTCACAAATAACAAAAATGTTAGAGGGGTTAAGGTCAGGGTTAGCCAAGCCATTGACTGATATGAGTATTGAAGTCACGAATAACAATTATGTTAGGGTTAGGGTCAAGGTTAGTCAAGCCATTGACAGTTATGAGTATTAACATCACTAATAACAACTATGTTGGCAGATATGCCAAAGAAAAAAAAAGAGAAAAGGTTAGGTCAATTTGATTAGAAACAACAACTGTTATATAAGTTCAAGATTTATTTAACAAGTGTTAAATAAGTTTTGTGATAAAGAGAATGATTTTGTGATAAGTAACAAAAAGAAAAGGAAAATAAAAAAAGTGAAGTAACAAAAAGATATTTGAAGTGAGGTGGTAATAAACAAAAAACACAAGATTCAGACCTGATTTCACAATAAGTATATTGTAAACATAAGTATATGCCAAGTCATGTGTCATGGCAAGTGAAAAATAAAGATAAACCATGAAAATATTGTTCAAAAAACTTTTTTAACCAGTATCTAAAAATTTTTGAATCAGAATTAACTGTTCCTGGTTCAGGAGTGTCTAAATTATCAAAAAACTTACCAGGTTAAAAAAGTGCAAACTTGTAAGTTATGATTTCTTTTTGATTTGATTCTAGCTTTTGTAACTCCAAACAAAGAAGCTTTTATGCAAACCTTTTGTTGATTGTTATCTGTGCACATAAACACAATAATATGAAAAATTGTGTAACTTTTAATTGTTATGAAAGTGGCTAAGTATGGTCTTGACCATCTTTGAATGAATATTCATTAAGATTCTTACTCCTTTCCTCAACAATAACAAACTTAAAATATGTTTTTTACATTTGTCTGTTCCACTAATGTGATTTGAAAAATTGTCCATTTTTTAATGAACTTTTAAACTAATATTTCTTCTATTTTCTTGATTTTTTTTGGTAACAACAGGACAACCATCATTAGCCATGTTTTTTTTTCCTCTCTACATATTGCTTTATTCAATCAATCCTTCAGTTTTTTTTTCTTGGCTATTGCTTTATTCAACCTATTCTTCTGATTTCAATCATTAATTAGTTAAAACTACAGATAATGTTGTTAATTTTAAACATAGCCATAGACATTACTCATTACTCCATTGGGTTCTGTTTGTCCTCTTTATTTAATCTGGGACTTTTTTTTACTTAATAACTTAAAAATTATATGAAATAAAAATGTTTGTTTGATTAGTTTTTAAATAATAATAATTTTTGGTACAATAGTCATAATTTAAATTATTAGAGTGTACTTGACTCAAACATAGAGTGTACTTGACTCAAACATAAAGTGTACTTGACTCAAACATAGAATGTACTTGACTCAAACATAGAGTGTACTTGACTCAAACATAGAGTGTACTAAAAGTTAATACTTTCATATTTTTCAATTGATAGAATTAGAAAACTAAGAGTAATCAAAAAGATCAGCATTCAACATTCAAGACAGGAAACAATGTAACACAGGTTCACATCTATGCCAGACAATTATATAAAGAAGGGGTAAAAAGCTGGTCAACAAAAATTTTCTGCTTACTTTTAAAGTTTTTGCCTTCTACAAGGCAATAGCTGGATGTAGTACAAGTCAATAGCTGGATGTAGTACAAGTCAATAGCTGAATGTAGTACACATTTGCCTAAGATCTGTATTTTTATATTTTATATAATTTATTATTATTTTTTTTTTTTATATCTTTGGTTAAATTTTTTTTTATACTTTAAATTTTTTAAAATGTGCTTATATGAGTTTTGACAAAATAATAGCTTCTGCCTGACTAGTATCAAACAATGTTTCTATCTCCAATTTCTTGCTTAGCCTGTGTGTATCTGTGAGTGTATGTATGTATGTATGCAGTGTGTTTTTTTTAACTAAAGGTTTAGCTAAAACACTAAACTGGTTACCCTGCTTAACAGACTGGTATGAATGTATATGTACATAAAAAGATTTTACCTGACAATTGTCAATGTAATACTCAACATCTTCACGTACTTTATTTACCTATAATAAAATTTTTTGCAATTTTTAAATTAATTTCAAAAAAGACAAAAATAAAAAATTTAATATAAGATAAATCTAAAAAAATTAAATTTTTAAACAAAAATACTTACAGCATCAACTTCCAGTGAATGATTGTCTAACAGCCTTAAAATATGCTAAAATAAACATTCATATATATATATATATATATATATATATATATATATATATATATATATATATATATATATATATATATATATATATATATATATATATATATATATATATATATATATATATATATATATATATATGTATGTATGTATATATATAAAGTAAAGTAAAATAAATCTATTTTTCTCAAAATATTTATTTTGAGAAAAATAGATTTTTTGTTTTTAATACAAGATTTTTGTATTAAAAACAAAAATAATTTAAATTGCATATTGTAACTATTGTGATGGATTAAATTCTAATAATACACAGGAAGTACCAATTAAAAGTATCATGTTTTTGTTTGTGCAGATGCTTTTCATATGACAACAAAAAATTTTCATTGTTAAGCTCAAAGAAAACTTTTGACAACCACGCGTACACCTGTCAATGTTCGCACCAAAGAGCAACTAAACCTTTTTTCCATCATTTTGTTTTACTTTTTTTAGCGCAAACAAAAACATGATACTTTTAATTGATACTTCCTTTGTATTATTAAAATTTAAAACAATAGTTATTCATAGTAACAATATGCAATTTAAATTATTTTTGTTTTTAATACAAAAATCTTTTAACAATACCAAAACAGCTGATGATTTTTTGAAAGGCCTCTAATGCTTAAATTTTAATCAATTATAAAATATAAAAATACTTTGTATTAGTGTATTTATTGGAAATAATAAATGTTTTGAGAAAAATAAATTTACTTTTGTTCACTGGTTTGACTTTTACTTTATATTGGTTAAAAATCATATTTCAAATTTCAAAGCTCGAAGAAAAAAAAAAAACGGGATGCCATCTCATTACTTTTTTATAAAGTATAAACCATTACGTCACCTTTTTATAAATCTCTCTATACAACTTCTTATTAACTTCTCTTTTATTAACTTCTTTTAGTTTTCTTACTTTACTTTTTTCTCTTACTATTTTTATAGAAGCTTTATTGTTTTTGTCATTATTATTTATTTTATTCATTACTGCTATTTTTATTATTACTATAATTATTATAATTGTAAATACTATTGGTTTTGCTGTTACTTTTGCTCTATTAATGAATGAAGTTATTATTGTTATTTTTTTAAATTAATATTATTAGTATAATTATTTGGTGTCACTCTATTGATCAGGTTTCAGCATGAGTGATTCCTTCCTTCTTAATCATTTATTTATATTTATTTTTAATAATGCTATTTTGATTTTATCATTTATAATAATATAGATTTTCTTCTTTTTCTTATTGTTATTATTAATACTATTATTAATATATTACTGTAATTAGATCATTGTAAATTTTGAGGAAAATAAATATCTTATTGTTGTTAACAATGATTAGGTGGGATGGTATTAAAAATTTACAGAATACCATCGGATGGTATTTGGTAAATTAATAATACAATCCATCCTAATCATTGTTGTATAGAAAGATTTTGAAAAAGGTGGCGGGACGGCATCTTGCCCCACTTCGAGCACTATATATATATATATATATATATATATATATATATATATATATATATATAGAGTTGCAAAAAAACGCGTTTTTTTCCTTTGGCGTTTTTTTGGGTCAAAAAAACGTGTTTTTTTGGTTTTTTTGATGTTTTTTTGGTTTTTTTGGTGTTTTTTTGGTTTTTTTGGTGTTGTATTGCTTTTTTTAAACAATTTTTCAGTTTTTTTTTACATAAATTTAGGACTAGTTTTCCTTTAATCTAGTATAAATTTTAGTATTTGGCCATTAAAAGCACAATTAGATGTATAAACACCAGTTTAACAAAAAAATTTTATAAAAAATTTAAATTAGCTTTAATTTAGTTATATATTTAGGTATACTGTATGAAAATGTTTATTTTCTGTTTTATTGTACTAACAACTGTGATACTCTCATTATATATAAAAACTATTCTTATTCTATAAAAAAGTTACCATTTTAATTTTGATAATGTAAATACATTAATGTATAACACCATGCAAATTTGATATCAGACTTAAAATGCTCAAAAAAATAAGCTATCTATCAAGATTATTAACTTAATTAAGCATTTGTATATTATGTAGTAATTAAGTCTTACATTGTTTGTTTGTTATATCAAAAAAAGAGTTATTGCTAGTATGCCCATTAAAAAAAAGCCCTATACTGAACTTAGTTTCAAGGAAAATTTAAAAACTTTTTAATTATTATTATTTACGGAAATTCCCAGACCCCATTCACCCGATGATTCGTAATTTATTTATTTGTAATTAATTTTTTAACAGCATTTTTTTTTTCTAATTACATTTGTTCATCTAAATATTTTCATATAGCACTATATCAGAACACTTGCAAAATTCTTTAATATGCTCTGTTTTTTAAGTTCAATTTTTAGACATAATCTTATGGCAAAAGAATTGTTTATCTTTTTCCATTTTACTAATTTGGTTCAGAGGTTTAATGGGTGACTAAGGCTTTATTTCTGCCCCCTGTATGGAGAGCCTAATCATAATTCTTTTTGTTCTTCCTGTTGATTACCAACAAGAAAAAAAAATTTACTTAATAATTTAAAGATATCCATTTCTCTTTATATATATATATATATATATATATATATATATATATATATATATATATATATATATATATATATATATATATATATATATATATATATATATATGTATATATAGATATTATGGTGCTTTAAAAATCACTACTCAGTGTTAAAGTATTTTTTGTCTTAATCTATTTTTTGTCAGTATTTTTTGTGTTAATCTATTTTTACTCCTGCCTGACAAAAAGTCTTCTCTTTTTGATCAC